ATACATTAGTGCAGCCGAACATTTCTTGTTTACGGACACGGGTGTCGTCGACTATTTGCTAAATCAAGAAATAAGGGGACTTCAATTCAAGCCACCCCCTCCGAGGCCCCTCTTTTCGTGCGTGGCTGTGTCGCCCCCTTCAAAAGGTTTTCCAAGTCTAAGGTGGCGTTTCCCATCGATTTTGTTTACAGGTCCAGCAGGTACTGCAAAGGATTAACAGAAGAGGTTGGTGAAGGACGTGAGCCAATCGGATGGATGCTGCACCGCCAGCTGCACGAGTGCGGTCGTGCGTGCCCAGGATGATGGGTGGTCGCAGCGAGGCCTCCAGCTCATGAGTGCCAGCGTTTGTGCATTTCAAGACCGGTGTAGGGAGAGACAGACAGACAGAAACATGTACTTGGCAGTATGATCCAGCCCTGGATACTGAACACGAAAAATTCAAATTTCGAACTTTAACTTTACGTTCCCGGTTTGACGAATACATCAAGAGCATATTTTTAGTTCATTGCAAAAGAATGTGACGGGCAGCTGCTCGCCCCCCCCCCCAAGAACGATCTCGTCACGATAGCAGCCCGCTCTAGAAGTATGGCAAAAAAAGCATGTGTGGAGGAGAGATGGTGCTGCTAACGGGGCAGCCGGAGAACGCGCCCGAGAAAGATAAACAAACATGTCGTCGCCGGCCACGTAAGAGGTTATAGAGTGTGCATGTTGGCGGGCTGCATGATCGAATATATAGGGGGCGTATCATGCATTTTTTGTATTTTCGGGCGACAAGCAGGCAATAGAGACCCCGAGAAGTGGCAGGCATTCTGTTTTCAGCAGCAAGTTGTCTCCCAAGCTACACCTTTGTGAGGTTGGTGGACAAGTGTGACTCTTGTCTGGGTGGGTGGGCGCTGCTGATGTACTTGGCAGCAAACTTCAATGGGCAGGAAAGAAGGCCACCCCACATCATGTGTGCACCTGTTCGTCCGACATTTCTGCACAAGCTCACCTTCCACAGCTTGCAGAATGTGGGCCATCTTCGAGGCAAAGGGGTGGAACGCGTATGTAGATCAGTGAATTGGGGTCGGAGGGAAGACGGTGGCGAGGTGGCAGGAACTGGCGCTCCAGTGACCCGCCACAGGCAGCTTGGCAGAAGGGGGATTGGTGTTGTACCCAAGATTGATTTCGCGGCGCCCCCAGAAAGAAATGTCGCGGGCCACGGCAGTGCAGTGTGATGTGTGTGTCGTTCGCTGCCTGAGAGGTCAGCGAAGACGAAGAGTGCGTGTTGTACTCCTCTCCCAAGAGGCTTTGGTTGCAGGTTGGTGGTCTGTGCCGACATCTCCTCTCTCTTCGTTCCTCGTGCGAGTTGGCGCTGCAGAGAGGACAAAAGGGAGAACTTCGGGACTGTCAGATTTCTGCATCTGCTGCTGCAGTGACGATGCGACATGTTGACCGCAACATCCTCCAGATGGCAACAGCAGTCACGGCAACAGCAACGCTCTACCTGCTGTTAGGTGAGGGGAGATACTGGAAAGCTGCTTTGGTCGTTCCGGCTTGCTCGGCTGCCTCTGTGATGCTTGCTTTGTGTCAAGGTGAATTTTTTATTTGAAAATTGTCATCCCACGTCACCAGCAATAATGGGGACGTATCCTAAAATCCCCGGCCTGTGGATCCCACTCTACACGATCTCTTACCGCATGCTGACAGCAGTAGCTCTTTTCTCATGCCCCAAGTGTTAACGCTTGGCACTCGGACGCGGAGTACGCGGGAAAATGCGGCATACGTGTTACCCGAGAAGCCTTCCGAAAGTTTTTGCAACATGGGCAGCTCTTCATGCGTCCAAAGTCCCTGAATGTGTGATTCATCAACGTACAGCAGTATCATCGTGCCGATAGATTCTCGCCAGATTTGCTTTAGATTGTATGCGATGACGCATGTTGTCGATACGCGCTGAAAGCCACGACGCGGCGTCGGAGCACATGGTTCAACCCACTGTTCCCAATCGACCAACTGTCCCTCTGAAGTATATGTTGTAGGCAATGCCGACACCGGCAGCGGAAATCGGTGTCCTACATGTAGACATGCAGAAAGAAAGCCGCACGATGCAAAGCAGTAAATGGGTCCAGCAACAACAGCAGCGTGGTTAGTTCGCAACTTCTCCGCTTGCCGGCTGCTCAAAGGGAACAAATTCGGCGGGCGACGGTGGCATAGGCACATAGGCAGGATTTTCAAGGTGGCAGTCGGTTGCTGGGCCATCGATTCTAAGCAAACCGAAGGATTGCTGGTTGCTTGTTGATCAACTATCCCATCATCACCGGCAGCACCCGCGGTTCTGTCAAACGGCATCCCGCGAGGGAGAAATGGTTGCGGGCTCCGCCATTTACAATTTCGCAATGTTTTTTGAAGTGGTTACAAACAGTTGTTTCTGTAGGACTCCCACGTGGTATACTATCAGTCTCTCCACTCTCCACCTGTAGTCATTCGGTCAGCGGCATGCTCCCACACTGCTGCAACATTTCCTGGATAGTGCCGGCCCGCTCGTAAGAATCGTCTATTTTCACAAAAGGCTCAGGTCTCAGCGATTGAGCTCATGCTCTGTACTAAAATTGTGACGCCGGCGACTGATCCCAATTTCTTGGCCATGTTTCCGTTTCTTCACCCCAAAACCTAAGCCTCGATTTCTTGTGATGATGTTTATTTGTAGCGCGGGCCGGCACCACTGGTGCGCGGCAGTCAAAGCTGCAGCTCCTCGCGACTCCCGCCTGATGCCCGCCGCCTCTCTTCCTATTAGGCATGTTTGTGCATGCGTACCACGGGTCATCACATAACCTCTTTTTTTGGTTTTTTGGTCTGGTTCTCTCGGAGGGCACACAAACTACAGCAACAACAACAACAAACAACAACAACAACAACAACAACAACAACAACAACAACAACAACAACAACAACAACACATTTGCACACAATTTTGGCTTGGACAGAAGGCAATCCCCGTCGTCCGTCTCCTTCGGCAACACCGCGCGTTTAACCCCTTTTTGCCGCCGCTTGTGGCCCGGGCAGGCACCGCCGCTGTCGCCGAGGGAGTGCGCGTCAGCCCTCGACAGCGAGCATCGTGGCAGAGATCGACTTCGTCCCTGTCGTTGTCCGCCTTTTCTGGCCGACGGAAGGCTGGTCATGGTCTCGAGACGCCAGCAGCAGACGGGGCGGCTGCGGGGAGAAGGGGCATGGGGATGAGGGCATTTTCGAGTGCGTCTTTTTAGAAGCAATGGCATCGGATAGATGTATCTCCTTTGTGACAGTGCAGATGAAGAATCAACCGGGTACCGAGGCGATCTTGGGGTGCTTTTTAACGATCGCCTGCTTGTACACATTCCTCCTGTGCTGTTGTAGAAGGCCTTGTTTTGGCAGTTCAGCCAAGAACTCAAGCAGTTCACACAGGAACGGCAAGCGCACAGCAAAGCAATGGTATACTTCTCCTGTGCATATGAGGCTGCTCTGGGCCATTCTCGTTGCCATCTTCGTCTTGAGTGTGTTGGCCCTTCCGCCCGCCGCTCTCCCCCCCCCCCCCCCCCC